CTCTTTCCTGCCTATGCAGGGGGTCAGACTCGATGATCTATTGAGGTCCCTTCCAACCCTAACATCTATGAATCTATGCCCTGCTGCACGAACTAGCTCTGCAGGGAGCAGAGATCTGCGCCAGGGTCTCCTTTCCAGGGACGAGTCAGGTGGGAGACGTTGTCACTCCAGTGCCAGACTCATTATGGATGGGAACTGGCTTCTATGAGGAGCTGGCTTATTCTAAATAAATAGAATGGGCTCAAAGTCCCAATAACAACTCCAATACCAATACTCCAGTGTCAAACAATGCAATATAAAGTAAATGTTTGGAATCTCTTGCATTCAAAAGTCCCTGCCCATGACAATATTACAAGTTTTCTTGGACTGTGTGAGAGGAACAGATTTCCAATTATAACATTTCCTTCTAAAAAGGGAGCTGAACCATAGTGATTTTTGTGCATTATTTTTCAAATGTGTTTATATTACATATTATAATTTTTATATATTATAATAATGCATATTATATATATTATATATATATACTTTTCATAATAACATTACAGCAATATGTGAAGTGGTGTCTCTTTTTCAAGATTTACCCATGCAGCCTTCTCCATCAGGTCTACGTGTCATTCCAGGAGGGCAGATACACATGAAGGTACCAATCAGGTTTTTGCACATCATGCCTCTTGATCTGCAATCGTGGAGCTCTTCAGCACATTCATCCAGATCTGAAAAAATGCAGGGAATTTTTTATTTCAAATACTAAAAGCTTAGTATGAGCTCATAGTTGTAAGTTCAATTACAGAAAACAGTTAGTAGTTATTTTTTTCAAAGAATGTATTTTTCCCTTAACCTAAAACTGTTTTTTTAAACTGAAAACTCAATAAGAGTAAAAGGGATGACATGCTAATCTGGGGTAGAAGGGGGGCTATGAATTGGTAATTCATGAGAAATCTGAGACACACGCCTAATGTGTACACAATTGGGCAAATTACAGCTATCCTTTTTTTTAACATGGTGATACTACAGTCCATGAAGAAGAAACATTCCAGAATGAAATGTTACATCTTGATCCAAAATTGAAGTGACAAGACATGTTATGGTGTTGTATTGGGGTGCCTCTCAGCTCCAAATTTGCCAGCTTATAGGGGTGTTCACCCTCTGGTTTGTAAAATAGTTTAGATCTTCTCTTCTGCAAAGGAGAATTGCCTATAAGTATCAATTGCTCTAAAATTCACTTTTCTCTCAGACAATCAGTAAGGCATATAGAAGAGGGAAAAAATTACACAAGGAAGATGTATCATATAAACAAACATAACTGTAAACTGCAAAACAGCAAAAAATGAAAAGATTTTACCCTGCTTTTTTACTACAAAGCAGTCCCTCTTCCCTGACCAGTGAATAATCCCTCTTTCACCCTTGTCAGCATTTCCACTCAGCTACTTCCCTGTTTGTCCTGCAGATTATGTCAGCCTTCACCAGTTAGGTATCTCATGGGGGTGCCATGGGGGTCTCAACTAACTCCCTCAGGCCAGGGTTTTGTAGACAAGGAGCCTTCCCAAAAGACACCATTTACATGTTTCTATTCAATCCTCAGGAAGCCTGTGTATTGTGCTCCTCATTTTCTCCCACCCAAATATGTACCTTTCTGTCAGACTAGGAGTTCTTTGCAACTCAGTACTGTATTTATAAAACATGGAAATATTACATCCTTGCTTATAATTTCTCTTTTCAAACCAATAAACTTCTAATCATATTTTAGCCGCTATTACTTAAGAGACATATACATGCTCTCTCAGTGTGAAACTTTCTTTTGAAATACACTCCAGTCCTTCTGTGCAAACTCAGGTATTTCCCTTTGAAGTATAAGCCTCTACTCAAATACACATTGAGTTATGCTACCTTTCTGGCTGATTGATATCCATATCAATGCCAGGAAAGTGGGTTGTTTTAGATGTGTTAATAGTTACTGTCTGGTGTGGGGATACCTGACACTTGGGTCAGAAATCACCTTATTGCCTATGTTAAGTTACTTGATAACAATACAAATATACATGCACACCCAAAGCCATGGTTCATACAAACTTAGAGAGAAAACATCACAGTACTAAATCCAACTTGGGAAAATGTCTATACAACACACAAAATAAAGCCCCAAATCAGTCTCATATTTGGGTGAATCCACCAGTTGCACCTAAACAATCCATTTAATATTTTATTTAGAACCTTCTGCAACATTTTAAGAGTTTGGATGAAGGAAATATTAAAAAACTTTGGCCCTTGCTGTGTGGCTTTTATAGGAAAAGGTTTACAGTTTAGTAGCCATCAGTCAGTAACTGTAATAGTTCTGTGATGTCATGGTTAGCACCCCGGACTTTGAATCTGGGAATCTTAGTTCAAATTTCAGTAAAACCTATTTTTCCCTTTCCCCTGAAATTTCCTTCCTTGGTTTAGAGGACATTAAATGGTTACCTGACCCCCAGCTGTCTTTCCTGCTTGGTGCAGGGGCTGGACTCGATGATCTTCTGAGGTCCCTTCCAGCCTCACAATCTATGAATTAATACTTACATAACTGCTACTTAAAAAGTTTTAGAGGAAAGATTACCTTTGCACATCTTTTGGTCTTCTCGCAGTTCATAGCCAATGGGGCATGTGCATTCATAGAAACCATATGTGTTGATGCACCGAAAAGCACAGAGCAAAGGGTTCTGTGCACACTCATTTATATCTATATAGCATAGAAAAAAGAAAGAGAAGAAATACTACAGGTGTAAAAAATACTATGCTGAAGTTCAATTGAAATACCACCACTACTATCAGAACTTTATATCTGTGCTTGCTTAGTTATTCAATAGAAATTATTAGATCAGTGCTTCAGCATGGAAATTGTTTTGTATTTTTTCAACCAGCTTAAACAAGAAACAACCTTGATAGCTTTGGTTTAGAAACGTGGTCTGTCAGAAACATTTTATAACATGCATGCCTCTAACCATTAAGATCAGAGTGTCAGCTACTTTTTGTTTTCTTAACATTTTACTACATGATTCTGTTTATGCATTAATTTTTAAAATGAGATGAGCTTGTAAATTCCAAGCTCATGAAAGCTGTCTTCCTATTTCAGGAGAATAAACTAACTGTGTTCGTCTTTAAACCTACAAATTGCTGTCAAAGGTCTGCCAACAGCAGATATGATCCTCCTGCTCATTTCCTGGATTGATTAGCAAAACAATCAACAAATACTGACACTGTGGGAGTGTCTACACATGCTGCCATGGCAACTTTGTTACTGCGCTATCATGTAGTACTTCCTTTTGGAAATACTAAAAGATGGCGCAGTAGCAGCCAGTACTGTGCTGTGCGTACCGTGAATGGTTATTTTTAGGCACTGCGTCACCGTAGAGATGTGCTATAACTGGGGAGCATGTCTCTTCAGCGAAGTGGCTGCAGTGTCACAGGTTTTGCCTGCAGGAGCTACCTCGCCATAGTGCATTGCTAGGGTGACCTAGTGTCACAATTAGACACACCCTGTAAGCATCAAGGGCATCTGACTTAGAACCCACTGAAATGAGCGTGACAGATTACTCATCAGAGCTATTGTGTCAGGCTCTTTGCAAACACAGGGAGAAGCTTGCACGAGTTGCACTTGGTCACATTTTTAAGGTTTTTCTCAATGACAGCTAGAAGTCCTGTCAAATAGCAGAATGGCCTGGCTGTGGTCTTCTCTCCCCTTTCTCTTCTTTGGGGGACCACACTGCACAATTTGGGGACATTATGATATGTACTGTCTGAACAAACAGTCACACTTGTGTACAATCAAAATGTACAATATTGTTTGTTATATTTTTTTCTAACTGGATTCAATACGGTTCAGGTACTCTTAGCAGCTCAGTTATCTATCAAGCCACACTGCCCCACATCGTGCTGAGGGGAAACTTTTACTTCAAAAGAAAGGATTACATTAACCATGCTATCTACTAATGAAAAGTTTTATTTTGCAACATTTATTTTTAGCTTATTTTCTGTCCCTAGATTTTGTTTTCCAGTGTTGTATTTCAAGAGGATGGTTGCATTTAACTTTGACTTCGTAACAAAAACATGCTACTATGGTATAAGGCCTAGATAATTTATAAAGTACTTCAAATAAAGAGAAAAAGAAAGGAGGGGGGAAATCATTTACCTTCACAATTCATCATTGGGCCTGGCTCAAACCCTTCATGACAGTTGCATTCAAAACTACCAATCACATTAGTGCATGTGCCATTTCCACATGGATTCCCAATTGAACATTCATCAGTATCTGGGAAGCAATACGAAAACACAAACTTAAGAGAACTGGGACACAGGTCAAGCAGTAGCTTGAGTTCATGAACTTTAAGAACTACTGTACTTGCAATATACTGAGTCTATATAATGCAGAACCAACACGCACCTACGCAGTGCACTCCAGTATAATCTAAGTTGTATCCCATGGGGCACTCACAGCGGAATGAGCCATCAGTGTTGATACAGTGGCCATTTGAACAAATGCCTGGGCTCTCAAGACATTCATTGACATCTGAAAAACAGAAAGCTATGGGAACTAACTGAACATTTTATATCAAATATTGTATTTCCATTGAAAAATAAAATCAAGGAATAAGCACCTTGTTCTGTATGTCTCTAGCCAAAACATAATTCTGTAATTTAAAAGTAATTTACAAGACGCATCCTTTTTTTTTTTTCTTTAGGAACCAAAGATTTTGCCACTCTTAGAAACTGAAATGTCTTTTGCCAGAAGCCATGGTGTATTGCAGTTCTCAGTGAAGCCTAGTTTAACGAAACATATAAGATTTTCTATTTGCTGTCAGAAGTAATGAAATACCTTCACGTGTATCATCAATTCCAGGAATAGTTCCATGACCATAAGGGCACAAATCCTGGAAAGCAACTGTACAGAAAAAAAAATGTTTTAATTACAAACATGATAAATGGAGAGAAGCCATCTAAATGATCAAAATATTACAGCACTTTTAAAGCTGGCATCTGCTTGAATTTAATTAACTCTCAACTTTCATGCTAGCTCTTTCCTGATAGTTTCAGAAGCAATTTCCACGCCCCCCCAAATTATATCAAATAATTGGTACACAGGAACAACCAAGAACCAAGAGCTAATGATTGTTTTTGTATTTCTGGACCCTGCCTCTTTTCCCTGCCTCTTTTTTTGTTTTTCCTCTGTCTTAAAGCAGCAGGGCTACAGTGAGAGGCTGTTAGTTTATGGATGTGCACAGCCATTATAGTGACCTGGGCTAGTTACAGACGTTACAGCTAGTGCACTTTAAGCGCACAGAAAGCACTCTAAAACTGTAACAGAACAGAAGCTCACAGCTCTTAGAACACTTTAAAAATGGTAGATTGCACTCTAAGTTAACTCTCGATGGATGAGGTATTAGGTTAAAGTGCTTTATGTTAGAGCACTTTATCGAATGCCTTTGCCAGATTCTGGGGGTTAACTTAGAACGCAATCACTGCCACTCCAGGCGGCATTGCACGGGGCTGTGCTCTATCCTGCAGCAGAGCTTGTTTGCTCTTCCTGAGTGCTGGTCTAGCCCCGCCCCCTCAGCTGCAACTGATTGGAGTCAGTGACAGCCTCTGATCCCAGTCCTGCTTCCTCCCTCTGGGCAGCTGTGAGCTGCAACCTGGGTGGGGGGAGAAAAGGGGAGTCTCTCTCCCTGCACCGACCCTGACCCAGGGCTATGCTGCAGCCTGGCCAGGGGGGCCAGAGGGGAAGGGCTCCAGGGTCTCTCCCCACAGCATCCCTGGCTTTGTGGTGTGCTGCTGCCTGGACAGTGGGCTACAGGGGAAGGGGTCTGGGATCTCTCCCTCACAG